ACACGCACACGCACACGCACACGCACACGCACACGCACACGCACACGCACACGCATACGCACACGCACACGCACACGCACACGCACACGCACACGCACACGCACACGCACACGCACACGCACACGCACGCACAAAAATGTCATGTGGGGTTATCCGGTCCTTTAATTATGAGAGTATATTACTAGTCGTAACCGTAAAAATCCTCGTAACCGTAGTCTTCGTAGATGCATAAGCAAAAAACAACAATAAATAACAACAAGAAGAGGAGTAACTAAAGTAACAGTAGTAATACTAGTAGTAATTTAAATTTTTGAAAAATTGTAAATAGACTATATCAGTAATTTTCGCTAAAAAATATCTTGAACAGATCAGCGAAAAAATTTAGTATTAACGTATTATATTATACCAATGATCATTTTCTATAGATATAATGAACAATGAAGACCCATCGCCCGCTCGAGCACACGTGCATAACTCCCAGCAACCAACACGAAGAACTGGAACGGCTGATACTTCTGCAAGAAATGCCTCACGATGATGCAATTCCAAAAGACAAAGACTCCGGCGGCTAAAAGGCAAGCAGAACCCCCAATCAGTGCCATCTACACATTCTCGCTTGGCCATTGCAAAAGACGTCGGGGCATGCCTGGACCGTCTTAAAGCCATTGGGGCTCACATCGCAAGAGCGCCACACGGGAACTAATGGATGCTGCAATCTTGTATGGAATGTAGGGTCCTTCTCTGCATCTGCCGGGACCTTTGGCAGGCAGAGGCATGCCGGAGTCAGGAACAAGGGCACAGTTTCGTGATCCAGCAACGCTGAGCCTCCTGTTTTGGAAGGCAGTCTGTGCGGGGCCCTGGATAAGGGAGGAATGTTGGCTGCCAGCAGTGCCAGCTAAGGGAATCGTCTGGTGTGCTCATCCTCCCCGGGCGACCAGCTGCATGGTCTTACAGACCGTGCGTCTCCACTCCAACCCAGGAAGGGGTGGAAGGTTGGGGTGAATGTACCCATGGTCAAGGGCCTCTCTCAACCCTTGGGGGACCCCGTATTGGGATCCGCTTGTGCGACGGTTGCGCTGGCGCTGCAGGGTGGTCGAAGGCAGAACGCCCTCTTCCATCATGCTGGCAAATCTTGCCGCCATCTCTGGAGGGGTGCGCGGGGCTTGGTGTGCGGGGTGTGTTAGCGCTGGCGTCACCTTCATCCCCACCATTTGCCACCACACCATGTACTTGATCGGGATCTAAGACAATCACCGGTGCGCGTCCCACCTCCGTCTCATCCAATCGGAAGAGGTCGGCCAGCAACTCCTGAGACGAACCGGCACCCACCACCGCAGCTTCGGATTGTTTGCGCTTGTGGCTGCCCTGCTCTCCCCGACCCCTTCCTCCACCACGCACTGCCGCTTTGCTGGGCTTGTTTGGGGCACCTTTGGGCTACCTGTTGAAGGGCCTTGTGGCTTCAGGCTGGAAAAATTTTCTGGCAGAGAGCCTTCCGCCACACCGAACCATGCGTAGTGTTCAGTCATGCCGCACTGGCTGAAGTCGTGATGGGACTCAATGGTTTCATGGCTCTGCCGGTAGATTGCTGTGTATTGTGCATAAAGTTTCCGGAGGACCCTGGGGTGGAAATGCTCGCTGTCCTCCTCCTGAGTCAATACCCCCATTTCGCGCAAGCACCCCTCACCACTAGTTTGCTCTTGCGCGGTCTCCAAAATACCCAGCAGCTGCATCTGTCTCTCGTTGCAATCCGCGGGGTGATACTTGCAGAAAACGGAGGTTTCAGGCATTTCATACCGGACTTGCGTGCCTTCACCCAGCAGCCGCTCCAGTCCAGCCATAGTCATCCGGCGGACTTGCTTATTCTCCAAATGTTCCAGCCGCTCGCTGAGCACGTTCGGCGTCTTGCCAACGATGGCGTCCGTGCACAGGCTGGAGACGGCCAGGCATAAGTCCGACCATTTGCGCTATTTTCGGAAAATGAGGAGAGATAGACACAAACAAATAGATAGAGATAATTAATAAAAACAGACCGAACGGCCAAGCAGAGACAGACAGACAAACAGACCGCTAGACAGACCGACAAACACAGACAGACAAACAGACAGACACA